TATCAAGCGCACAAAGCCCCAACAGGATCAATAACCCACAAGTCCCTAAATAACCCATAAGATCTATAGACTAAAAAATAATGAATAATTAGTTCTATGAACAGAGTGTCTCGTATATAAGTGCATATACCATTGTATAAACTCTCATGAGCGACGTCCTGTATACGAAACGTATAAAAATCTTTATGTCATACCAATTTTTTTACATAAAAGTCGATATAATAATTAAAAATTACTTCATAAAATCAAAGCCAAACATTTGACCATCAAAGTCATTGTTGCCATATTATCGATTTCGAAATTTCTTTATGAACCATCATCATATTTTTCATTCAAATATGTACATACAGTATAAATACACATTTATATTTACACAACACCCAAATCAATTTACAATACATGTATATTTTCCTTTTGCTACATATTTATATTACTAAATACATGTATATATACGTATGTTATATAAAAGGATCATTCGAAAGAAAGATTATTTATAAATTATCTCTTAATAATCTTTGTACATTTCCAAAAATTTCATATTCAGTTTTGCTAAGCATAATACGCGCGACTAAAAATAAACAAAAAAATGTTACAATAGTGAAATTTACATTTTGTAAATCTTACATTTCAATAATTTTATGATTATTTAAGGAGTTTCATAAATATTTGTTCATATTATGTAATCATAAACATTGTATTAAATTCAAAAGATTTATTAGGATAATATATTAACGTCTGCTATGCATTTTTATTATTTATTTGGAAAAAATATGAGGTCTTGAAAATATGAAAGGGTCTTGAAATTTTTTAAAATTTTTGAAATGATTTCGGGAATTGATTTTGTTAGACATAAAGAAATTATGTATTAATTTATTATGTGAGAAATTTAATGACTTTTTTAACTAGAATAATTTTATAGTTGACCATAATAATTTTCAAAATTTGAATTCGTAAACAAATTAATTTTAGAGTTTTAAGAAAATTTTTATTTATATAGAAATGAAATAAAGAAAGTATTAAATTATTAAATGCGTATGACACATGAAATTTTTATTGAAAAAAGCCAAGGACTATCATAGACTCGAAGATTTCAATTACTTAAACGTAAATAGAAGTTTCCAAAATAGAGATCGCAATGGCAGAGTATAGTAGATTTTTCTTTAAAATATTTGTAATACACTCAGAATTCAACCACTATATTCATTTTCGGTTATATAGTTTCTAAAATCAAAATTTATCTCGATTTCTCTCTTGACTACGTCCATCGGTCCTTTATATGGATAGTATTTTTGTAGCATTGTTGAATAAAGTATTATCTTAATTTTTTTAATTTAATTATACAGCAGCTAAATTTTTTGTAATCTTTATCATTTTATAAATTTTTCAAAGTCAACATATTGTATAAAAACATACAATAACAAAATTTAATCTTCATCAAGACAAATATATATGTATAAACGTCAATATTTTGTTTTAAAAATTTTTATATGCATATACAAATAAACACATAAACACATTAAAAACAATTATATCAACATCGCCACTTAAACCAAAACAAACAAAAGTTTTTGATTGAGTTTAAAAGAGGCTAAACTTCATTAATACTTTAGAGTTTTAGACGAACTCCCGATAAAAATAAAGTAAGCAAAAAAGAAAAACAAAAAAATAAATAAATGTTTTCAAATAATAGAATAGAAATAATTTTTATTTTTCATTCTCTTCAATTACAATTTTATAATATAATTAAAATAAGAGCTCAGTTCTTGTAAAACTAAAGGATTCGTTCTAAAATATTGCCTCTTCTTTTAATCTTAAAGTCATCTTAGTAATTGAAAATATTTTGATTAAAATTTTGCTTTTTTTCTCACAAAAACATAAAAAATTGATAAGGCGAACGGCGGCATTGATCAAAAATAAATTTTCTATTATTTTAAAGTTTTATATAATATTGAAGTTAAAAATTTCAATTATGAGAGCAAAGTTAATGTAAAAATTTCAAGGAATTACAAGTTGAAATTTTTGAAATTGTCGGTATGATCTAATAACAATATTATTGTTGTAATTTCATTCTCCAGAATGATCGCCTCAAAAATACTCCTTGTCTTAGTTTTATAAGTGTTATAATTTCATTTTGATTTATAATCGTTGGATTTAAAAACTATTATAATATAATTACATATGTACAATTACAATATTTCAATTATTTTTAAAAAATAAATTTATATATGGTAGCTATGTACATATATGTATATTATGTATACATATTTAGTTGTACACCTGTTCTCATTCGCTTAATGACATACGTAATTAAATACAGTGCATGTATTTAATGAAAGGTACTAGATTATTCATTATAATATTAATCTTAAGAAATTTTTCTTCTCTAAAGAAAACATGGTTATAATTAATATAACAGTTTAATTTTTTTATTTTGATGTTTTTACAATTGACACACTATGCTATGTTATTATGTTGATTAGCGCTTGTCTTTATAGTCATTAAAAATTTACTTATAGTGGACTTCCTTCATTACTTTGTGCTCCTATATTTTAAAGAAATAATTCATTAGTACTTTACAAACAGAAATTTTATATTCTAACGAATTAATAAATAATATTACAAGTTTTTTATGAAGTATTCTTAATTTACTCACTTCGTTTGCCATATAAATAAAGGATGCAGAAATTTGAGGTTGATTATAAATATTTATGTTTTGCTGGTTATATAAGAGATTTCATATACTGGGCTAATTATCATTTCTATTTATTTTCTCTCGCTTGTTATGACTTTATTGAATAATTTTTTTTTTAATTTCGATGAATTAAGTCTTACTTCGATGAAAACAAAAATTAAATTTAATGTTAAAAAGCTGTTTGAGAGTTTGTGTTTGTGTATATGATTTTTGTACAATTGAAAATATTTTTCTATTTACATTTTATTAATTTATGAATAAAATCATTTTTATAGTTGTTTGATTTGTTATGTACAAGAATAATAAGAACTACATACTCGTATAATTGAAAGTATAGGATTAAGAGTAGAGTTTGATTATCGTTCCGAAATACATTCTAGCAGATTCTTTTCAGTTTTCGGCTCAAACTTTTTACATAAAATTTAATTAGAACCACGTTATGAAATTTTGGGCTTATATAAAATTTTCATTTCGATAAAAGTAATTTAAACACAAGTTTATATTACATATAGTTATGTATAGAGAGAGAAATCTTTAAGAACTGTGTAATTGCAAAAAAAACCACTTTCTTATACTCATTTCTAAAACAGTGCAATTTTAATTATACTATAAATAGATAAAAAAATCAACGGATGTATAAAGAGAAGAACACAAAATCACTAGTTTATACTTTAAATTTTTAATTAGCTTCTATACTTAGTTAATTTATTTGTTTACATTTGTGAGCATGTTTATAAATGATTTAATTACTCTATTCATTCATATAAGATGTTAGAAAAAAAAGAAGAATAATTTTAACATTTAAATTAAATTTTTAATGCAAAAAAGAAATGTGCAGAAAACAATCACATACGAGTACTCTCACATTAAAATGTTATATATAATTTTTAATTGAGTGTATTCAAAAAATAATTAGGAGATTTGTACTTCAGTCTTAATTACACACTGCTAATCAACTTGTAATTTTTTATTGGTAACAAATAAGAATTTTCAAGAATTTCTTACTTTTTTTTTATAGTACATTCTTTATGCTAATTTTTTTTTGCGAGAGAGTTTTTAAATTATGGAATTTGAATTTATTTCATTAGCTTGTTCTCATAGTACCTTATTTCAATTGAAAACATATTCTGATAGTTTAAATATAGTCGTATTCTTATTTTGTATACAGCTTTAGTAAAGCACCTTAAACTTTTAAAATAACTAGAGTATATAATTGTTAAGTTTTCCCATGGACCCGGACTTCATTCTTTACTTGTTGCTGATACCTACTGTACTAATCCCTACAATTGCATAAAAAAAATTCAATGTTTCTAAAAATTTCTTACGAAATTATCTGGTTAAAAAAAAACCGAAAAATAAAATTAATTTTATTTTTCCACATGAAAGTTCGAATGCTTTGTATTCCGAAAGTACATAAAATACAAAATTAAATAGCACAATTATTTTAAGCTCTTTACTAGACCTTTTAAAAACTGTTTGCTTAAAGTTCCTATATCTTTTTCGGAACGGAAGTTATAATGAAAAAAACTTGGATAAGTAAAAATTTCGTGAAAATTCGTTAAAATGCCTGGAACTAGGAAACCCTTGAGATTTGACACCCAGTCTGAAACAAAAGTTTTAGCCATTTTCGATCCTCTAACCAAAGATATATGTTGTTGCATACCTTTCAGAATAACCCTGTATAAACTTATATCTTTTAAAATACTTGTTTATTAAAAATGGCATCGTTATCGTAAGGCAATTACAGATCTTATCGAAACTTTGTTAAGGTGCTTGTTAGTTTAGTATTAATTTTAAAACATAAGGAACATCATTTAAATGTGTAATGTGTATGCAAAACAAAATATGTATGTAATAATATGATCCTCCCACTTATGAATAACTTAATATTAATAACAAAATTAACAATAATTTCGTTTAATTACAATTATAAAATTTCTCAACAAATTTCTTAAAATTAAAGTAGACGTACCAAGATTATTTTCTTATAATATCAGTTTATCAATAGAAGTGTTTAATAATATTAATCAATGCATTCTTTATGTGTTGTATTATTGAATATACAAAAAACAAATTAAAAAATTTTTTAACGTCAACGTTGTTGCAGCTAATAAAAAACATCCTTTAGAAATTTACAAATTTTCACGTATAAGCTGAAGCAGTCGACTGATGATAAATAATTTTATATGGCGGCTGCACCGGCTTAAGTAGATTAGTGTAGTAGTTTAGTTTTGCGTGAGTTGAGTGAGTTGAAGAAAATTTAATTAATAACGTTTCCTAAATATTCATTCAGTTTAGTTTAAGCAATTGAATGATGTAGACGTTTTAACGGATAAAAATAATTATAACGGTTTTATTTATAACGTGACTGATCGTGTAGCATTGTGTATTCGAGATTCGTTTTTTTTTTTCAATTAAATTAAAAAAAAATGGAATAATTATAAAAATTTTATGACATCGTACACAATTATTATGAATGAAAAATTAGATAAGAAACAAAAAAAAAAAAAAAAAAAATCATTCTTAAAGTGAAATTATATGTGCATACTTATGTATGTATGAATATTCTTGACCTATGAAATTTTGTTTAATTAATTAATTTAAATTTTAAAAAGAAGATTAAGAAACAAAAAAAAAATTCAATGTAGTGCAAAATTTGAATTTTTATATATTTTTAATTTGTGTTTCAAGTATACTGGCGCTTATAATTCAAAATAAGAAGTAAAATTATTTAATTATTAAATATTATTGTCAATAAAAATTATAAAGAAAATTAATAATTATTAAAAATGGATAAATTAAAGAGAATTTTAAAATTATCGATTATTCCAATTGGATTTTTACAAATATTTCTTATGCAAATGGATTCAATTAGAGCAGATTTGAATTATAATCACAATGAGAATAACAATACAATTTTTGAGAGTGTACCAACTACAGTCAAGACGTACGAGAATGATACAGTTATGCTACCATGTACTGTTAATTGTAAGTTAAATTTTTTAATAACAGTTTACTCATTACAACTTATAAATTAAACTGTATATTTAATATTTAGTATTGATACTATATGTACGTATACTTATATGTCCGTAACATTCAAACTGCAAGCAGAATATTATAGTATATGTATGTATAGTGATTGATTTTAATTATATGTATTGGAAAGCTTAGCATCTCTCAAGAACAAGAGTCTAAGAATAATTTTTTTGTGAAAATCTTTTTTACAGTCTTTTGAAATCAATTCTGAGGCATTTGCGTCTATTAAAAATTAAACATAACCTATAGATTATCCGATTTAAAAATCTATTTCTGTTTATAAAAATTGGTTAGACAAATTTTAATAATTAATTGTCTGCAATAAGTATAAATAAGTATTTAAAATTATTTCAATTTCTTTATCATTTAAATTTTTCCATAAATTTTTGGGATTAGTAAATTTTTATACCCTATCAGCCTAGTTGGTTAATAACCTAAAACCATAAAACAACTTTACGTTTTTGATAAATTTTTAAATTACCAATTTAATTTAATTCTGACGTAATATTGAAAAACAAAATTTGGGTTTCTAACCGAATTGAGTTACTTATTGTTTCAATAAAAAGAATATTTATGTAAATGTACCGTAAGATAACAGATTCATATAACATCTATCGTACACTATGCTCATGTCTCGAAACTGTTAAGATTAAATATATATGTATGTACATATTTTAAAATATTTAATTAAAACTTCAAATTCATTTAAAGAGATTCTTTAAACTATACGATAAAAATTTAACTTTTTAAAAAAAGTCGACGAATTTAACTTTGTTTTTACTAACATATCCACCATAGAATACATAATTTTATATTTGAACAATAGGTGCTCAACAAATCATATTATTATGGTGTTTGAGCACATGTAAATCCATACAAAATTTATACATTTAACTTTAAGTGCAAAATTACTACACTGTGGGGAGTAAATTCGGCGAAAAGTTTATGTGCATTTAAATTATTTTTGTTTTAAATTTTGTTTTATAATTTTTAATTTAAATATCAAATACCGTGAAGCCATTATATTATTTTGAGTTTTGGTATCATAAGAATCTTTGAAAATCATATACCATAAAATAGGGATAAGTCATCAACAAGCTCATAAAATTATAGACTAGACAATTACACATCTTCAACATGTTTGTACTTGATTTAATTTTTGTTAAAGTTCAAGACTATAATCTTCTTATATAAATATTTAAATCATTATGTTTTAATAACCGAAAGCGATTTATTTTCCAATGCAACTTAAATTCAAGTTGCGTTGGGGTACACTAAATTTATTAAATATAGGAAATGTTAACCTCACATATCGCAATTACGCAGTTACAAAAACTATTTTATATACATTAAAAATTACGGACTATTTCAGTTTAAAATAAAGAAATTTATTTAGTCTTTAAGCCATCAGGAACACACATTTTATATTTCATATTGAAATAACTAAAACGGGGACATGCAAAAATTTTCCAATCACCTCGTAAACATGAGAAATACCTCATAGGCACAGTTTCATCAACTTTAAAAGAACCCAGTTTACACCTCGAAAATGGTGTGGTTGGTCTGCAACTTCCGTCTTCAGGTACGCACTCTTTAGTTTTAAATATATCGAAATATGTGTATTCGTCACAAGTTTTGAGAATCCACCTTCGATTTACGCATTCGTAATATTTTGTACAATCGTTTTGGTATTGCTTTTTTACGGATTCAACACATTCTGGTGTAGTACGATATGTTGTAGGTCTGCAGGTTCCATCTTCAGGGAGACATGTTTTACGAAATTTCGAAAAATATGTGAAATCTTCACAAGTTTTGAGAATCCACCTCCGATTTACACATTCATAATACTTTGTACAATCGTTTGGATATTCTCTTTTTTCGAATTCAACACATTCTGGTGTAGTACGATATGTTGTAGGTCTGCAGGTTCCATCTTCAGGGAGACATGTCTTACGAAATTTCGAAAAATATGTGAAATCTTCACAAGTTTTGAGAATCCACCTTCGATTTATACATTCATAATATTTTGTACAATCGTTTTGATATTCTCTTTTTTCGAATTCAACACATTCTGGTGTAGTACGATATGTTGTAGGTCTGCAGGTTCCATCTTCAGGGAGACATGTTTTACGAAATTTCGAAAAATATGTGAAATCTTCACAAGTTTTGAGAATCCACCTTCGATTTATACATTCATAATATTTTGTACAATCGTTTTGATATTCTCTTTTTTCGAATTCAACACATTCTGGTGTAGTACGATATGTTGTAGGTCTGCAGGTTCCATCTTCAGGGAGACATGTCTTACGAAATTTCGAAAAATATGTGAAATCTTCACAAGTTTTGAGAATCCACCTTCGATTTATACATTCATAATATTTTGTACAATCGTTTTGATATTCTCTTTTTTCGAATTCAACACATTCTGGTGTAGTACGATATGTTGTAGGTCTGCAGGTTCCATCTTCAGGGAGACATGTTTTACGAAATTTCGAAAAATATGTGAAATCTTCACAAGTTTTGAGAATCCACCTCCGATTTACACATTCATAATACTTTGTACAATCGTTTGGATATTCTCTTTTTTCGAATTCAACACATTCTGGTGTAGTAAGATATGTTGTAGGTCTACAGGTTCCATCTTCAGGGAGACATGTCTTACGAAATTTCGAAAAATATGTGAAATCTTCACAAGTTTTGAGAATCCACCTTCGATTTATACATTCATAATATTTTGTACAATCGTTTTGATATTCTCTTTTTTCGAATTCAACACATTCTGGTGTAGTACGATATGTTGTAGGTCTGCAGGTTCCATCTTCAGGGAGACATGTTTTACGAAATTTCGAAAAATATGTGAAATCTTCACAAGTTTTGAGAATCCACCTTCGATTTATACATTCATAATATTTTGTACAATCGTTTTGATATTCTCTTTTTTCGAATTCAACACATTCTGGTGTAGTACGATATGTTGTAGGTCTGCAGGTTCCATCTTCAGGGAGACATGTTTTACGAAATTTCGAAAAATATGTGAAATCTTCACAAGTTTTGAGAATCCACCTTCGATTTACACATTCATAATATTTTGTACAATCGTTTGGATATTCTATTTTTTCGAATTCAACACATTCTGGAGTAGTAAGCAATGGTTCGCAAGCTCCATTTTCGAGTGTACATAGCGCTGGAACTGTCCATTTTGTAGCAGGACGAGTTGGAACAGGTTTAGTTGTTTTCACATCTGGTTTTGGGCGATAATTGCAAACATTTTTATCTGGAAGACAGAAACCAGATACACTATAGTATTCATTTGGAGGACAATCTCTCAAAATCCATTTTTGATTAACACAAATATAATATCTTTGACAATCATTTTTATAATGTTTTGTAAATCCGTGCAAACATTCTTCAGAATTGACAATGTAGGTTAATGTGGTTACTACTATGATAAGCAGCAGAGGTTTCATGGCGAAAAGTATGTTTTGAAAAATCGTTAAAAAACTTAATATTAAAATTAATATATAAAACGGAATATCTTAAAAAATGAACAAAGTACTTCTCATTCCGTGATTGACTGACTTGATTTGAATTTTTTTGTGAATTTTATAATAATTGATAACATCTAATCTCACCTTTTCAAGTTATCTTGATGTCAAATGTGAAAGTGCCGATTTTTTTCCTTTTGAATGTGTTTGTGGTGTTTTATCTATATAAAGTTATTTTCATAGCATTGATTTGAAGTCAGAAACTTGTTCAGTAATGAAATATAACTTCAGTCTTATAACGTATTGTTGAAATTAAGGGGAAACTTAACGTTATTTGAAGTTTTCACTTTTCAAAAAAGTTTTTTAACAGAGGACGAGAACGTAACCTCTTCCAATTTATACATACATATATATTTCGTTTTTGCTTCTAACACTGTTGAATAAAAACTCAATTGGTTAAAGCTGCTCCATAAACAGGTTCGATGATTTGAGTGAAAAACTAATAATTTTAAGATTTAAAAGGCAAATGTATAACTAAAAATGTGATTAAAATTCTTTTAGCCATTTCGGTTTAAGTTTTAAAGCTTGATTTGAAAATTTAATTCACATATTTAAGATTTTTTTGTAAAACAACATTACACGTTTACGAAAACGTTTGCCAACCGTTCTCTTTTGAACCGTGAACTTTTTTTTATAGAAATACAATTTTAAGCAAACCAAAAACGTAATTCAGCAAATAGAAAGTGCGGTCGCTCATATGCTGATCACATCAAATTTTTTTCTACCAATAATTGATTTTTATAGTTTTCATGAGCTTATTTTAATCTCATTATTATTCGCGTACTTTGATTAAATTAAATTCTAAATTTGTACTAATTTTTTGTACAAACAAGAGGCGGTTTTATTTGACTTAACGTAGTCACTTAACAATTTTCCTCTTTAGCTGTAAGTTAGAATATGTTTTTATTCTCATAAGTAGAAGAAAATTAAAAAAAAACAAGTAAAAACGTTCCAATCGGTATAAACCGATTGAATTATACCCTGCACCTTTCGTTATTGTATAGCAATTACTCGAACCTGTGAAATCATTCTATAGAAACTTCACGGACATGTCTGACCTATAATTGGACATCCGACTGCCAAGTTTCATGAATCTGACTTTATTATTTTTCCAAATATTTAAAGTAAGCTTTTAGACTTGTATGGGGGCTACTCGAACCTGTCAAGCAATTGCATCAAAACTTCACAAATATATCTGATCTATAATCGGACACACAACTGCCTAGTTTCATGAATCTGACTTTATTATTTTTCCAAATATTAAGAATAAGCTTCTAGACTTGTATGGGAGCTACTCGAACCTGTCAAGCAATCCCACCAAAACTTTAGAAATATGTTTGACCTATAATTGGACAAACGACTGCCAAGTCTCATGAATTTGACTTTATTATTTTTCCAAATATT